GTTTGCTTTTCATCCAAATTCTTCTAGTTTTCTTTCATTTTGTAAGAAATCTACAAACCTTCAACCACTAGCAGAGAAAAGAACGTTAGTGGTAATAATCATACCACCAACTCGAATATAGCACTTATGTGTGCCAGACACGGTTCTAATTGTATTCCATGTACTTGCTCATTTTATCCTCACAACCACCCTATGAAGTGGGGAGCTGTTATTATTTTCATTTCACATATGAGGAATCTGAGGCACAGAGAGGTTAAGTCCCTTGCCTAAGGCCACACAGCTAGCAGACCAGAGGTCTTTGGCAGGGTCAGAATGTTTATCATGCCCTGTGGAGTTGGGACTTCCCTGAATCAAACTCCTCAAGGTCAAAATGGGCTTGAAGGTCCTCAGGACAAAATAGAGGGTCAGAGGAAGTCTGGGGTTCAGGCATCTTTGGGGTCCAAGTGTCCTCAGGGTCACACGTGGGCTTGGGCCACAGGTGCAGCGCGAGGCCCTATTCATGAAGAGCGAACGGCACGCAGCTGAGGCCCAGCTGGCCACGGCAGAGCAGCAGCTGCGCGGGCTGCGCACGGAGGCGGAGAAGGCCCGCCAGGCCCAGAGCCGCGCCCAGGAGGCCCTGGACAGGGCCAGAGAGAAGGACAAGAAGGTGGGTCTCTTTTTCCTGTGCTTCGTTAGAGGTCCCCACTCAGTGGAGATTGGGGGGCATCTAAGAATGTCCCCCTGAAAGGGTTCTGGGAAATGGGCCCATTTTCCAGAGAGGAGACAGACAGAGAAGGAAGGGGACAACTCGGACACACAGGCTACTGATCCGATTACTAATTACTTGCACAGTAACATTTGTTTTTAAATATATTTTATTGACTTTTTACAGAGAGGCAGGGAGAGGGACAGAGAGCCAGAAACATCGATGAGAGAGAAACATCGATCAGCTGCCCCCCGCACATCCCCCAACTGGGGATGTGCCCGCAACCAAGGTACATGCCCCTGACCAGAATCAAACCTGGGACCCTTGAGTCCGCAGGCCGACGCTCTATCCACTGAACCAAACCGGCTAGGGCCACAGTAACATTTATTGGCTGCTTATTGCATGTCAGGCCCTGTGCTGTGCATTCAATATGGATCAATGCATTTAATCCTCGCATTAAGTTCCAATAAGATCGCTGTTTTTATTGTCCCATTTGAGGAAACTGAGGCACAGAGAGATGAAGCCACTTGCCCACAGTCACACAGCTATGCAATGGTTCTTCCAGGGCTCAAACCCAAGTTCCCAAGTTCTTTTCTTTTTTAAAAAAAAATATTTTATTGATTTTTTACAGAGAGGAAGGGAGAGGGATAGAGAGCTAGAAGAATCCATGAGAGAGAAACATCGATCAGCTGCCTCCTGCACACTCCCTACTGGGGATGTGCCCGCAACCAAGGTACATGCCCTTGACTGGAATCGAACCCGGGACCCTTGAGTCCGCAGGCCAACGCTCTATCCACTGAGCCAAACCGGTTAGGGCCCCAAGTTCTTTTCTTAAATAGTAAGAATAATGATATCGGAGGCCTCTGGTTATTACTCAGCTGTTTTTCACACATCGTCACTTTTAATCTCACAACCCTAAGAGCCAGAAAGCATTTTTATCTTCATCTTCCAGATGAGTAAACTGAGGCGCTGAGAGACAAAGTGAATGGCTCAAAGTTACACAGAATGTCACTGGATAGTGAATGTGACCCTCAGAGCTCCAAGGGCTTTAGGGCAAAGAGTCTCCCAGATAGGACTTGCTGTGTGACCTTGGATAAGTCCCTTGACCTCTCTGAGCCTAGTTTTCACATCTGTAAAATGAAGATAAAGCTGTAATAGGGATTATGCTTTATTTGTATCAGAGTTTCTCTTTCTCAGCACTAGTGGCATTAAGGGGCAGGTCACTCTTTGTGGGGGGCTGTCTTGGGCACTATGGGTTGTTGAGCAGCATCCCTGGCCCCACCCACTTGATGCCAGGAGCTCCCCAGACATTCTCATTGCAGGAGAAGCCATAGGTGTCCTCTGGGGGCAGCATGGCCTCTGATGAGAACCTTTATCCGTAGGAATAATGATGAAGTTTAGCATTATTGAGTGCCTGCTCTTTGCCAAGCAGTTTAGCCAGTTAACTGCCACGATATTTTGAATTTAATGAAAAAAGGTCTACTGCATGCATTTAAAGACGCTTATGGCGTACCAATGGTTAAACTTAATCACTGTTTGGAATCAGTGAACTGGTGGGAACCATGATTCTCCTTACAGATGAGGAAACTGGGCTCAGAGGGGTGGAGTCCTCTTCCCAAGATCTCCTTAGAGAAAGGGATAGAGAGGGACCCAACCCCGGCTGTCTGACAGCCGCACCGGCTCCCCGCCCTGTTCCACCAGCCTTCCTTTCCAGACTCCAGGAGGGGGTGTGGGAGGATCTGCAAACTTTACTGTAACGGACCGATAGGCAGTGTTTTGGGCTCAGGTCTGCCATTGCAGGAGAAGCCATAGGTGACATGAATACGAATGGGCGTGGCCATGCACCAATTCAATTTTACGTGTGAACACGGAAGTGTGGATTTTATCTAATTTTCACGTGTCAGAAAATAGCATTCTCTTTTTGACTTTTAATCCAGCCATTTAAAACGATGATAACCATTCTTAGCCTGAGGGCCAGTTTGCTAGCCTCTAGACAGGGTCTAGGATGTGACCTTCCCTCGCAAGCCTCTGTCCCACCTCTCTCACCCCTGCTGCCCCAGCCCTGAGCTTGGGGTCACCAGGGTGACCTCCCCCCCCCAGATCACAGAGCTCTCCAAGGAGGTCTTCAGTCTTAAGGAGGCGCTGAAGGACCAGCCAGCAGTCCCGGGCAGCTCCGAGGTGGAGGCCCTCCGCGGCCAGGTGGAGGCCCTGCAGGGGCAGCTGGAGGTGAGAGCCACACCGGGCCCACAGAGACCCCGGAGAGGGCTGGGGGCACGCAAGCACCTGGGGCACACGTGCCAGGCATGGGAGGGCCCCAGGAGAGGGCTGGGGGCACGTGCCAGGCACGGGAGGGAAACATTGCAGTATTTTGTCAACTGGCACCGTCTCACTGGTCCATGCCCTCGACATAGGGGCTCAGGGTCCGCAGGGGGCACTTTGGTACCTTGGGGTGTCTTGCTTTGCTGAGGGCCCACCCCCCACATCCACAGGAAGCTGCCAGGGAGCACAGCGCAGTGGTGGCCTTGTATCGGAGCCACCTCCTACATGCCATCCAGGTGAGTCAGCCCTGGCTCTGGCCATCCCCCGGCTGCTCTCTGGCCCCCTGTTGCCCCATCTGTACCGTGGCAGGGCGCCCAGGCTCCCCCTCTGTCCCCCCGCAGGGCCAGATGGATGAAGATGTGCAGCGGATTCTGAGCCAGATCCTGCAGATGCAGAGGCTCCAGGCTCAGGGGCGCTAAGCCTCCGCACACGGACCCTGCTTGCTGGGACCTGCACGGGCCTTCCGGATGTGGGGATCAGCCTGGCCCCGGCCCGACTGTCCCTGGGTGTCCATTTCTCAGGCCCTGGCCATGCCCGCCCCCCCAATCAGGGAATCTGAGTTCCCTGGCTCATGTCCTGTTGCCAGACACCAGCCCAGGTGCCAGACACCAGCCCAGGAATAAAGCTCACTGAGCAGGGCTCCACCTGGAGGAGGGGAGGGGGTGGCCCGGATCAGGGTGAGGAGAGTGAGGCACCCCCCCCAGGCACCCCCTCCTGCACCCAAGTCTCAGCCCCATAATGAACACTGTGTTCATGCAACATTTTATTTTTTTAAAAATATATTTTATTGATTTTTTACAGAGAGGAAGGGAGAGGGATAGAGAGTTAGAAACATCGATGAGAGAGAAACATCGATCAGCTGCCTCCTGCACACCCCCCACTGGGGATGTGCCCGCAACCAAGGTACATGCCCTTGGCCAGAATCGAACCTGGGACCCCTCAGTCCCCAGGCCGACGCTCTATCCACTGAACCAAACCGGTTAGGGCTCATGCAATGTTTTAAAAAGTCAAAATGGATGCCAGAAAGTTCACCCTGAACAGAGTCTCCCAGAGTTAAGGGAAGGCAGGAGCCACGCCTGCGCTGACCTCACTCTCCTTACCCTGGGCCCAGCCCCTGGGAGGGAGAGCCCACCCCAACCCCCTGCCCTGGCAACTTCCCTGAAATCCCCTGGTGCTTCTCAGCCCTTTCCAGCCGGGAGGAGGTGACTAAGACCGTGAACCCCCGTGTCCAGCCGGCCCCGGGGGGTTTCCTCGCTCATCCAGGGCAGGCAGGGTGTCCAGTGGGGCTTCAGCCGCCGGGCATCCCCGTGGCTGGGAGGATGTCCGTGGGAGGGGCTGCCCCCAGGTCTGCTCTGTCTCTCTCTGGCCGGTAAGCGGGGACCCCGTCGCGGTGGTCCCCGTGTGAATGGGCATCTGCTGTGTAGATGCCCGGGTCTCCCGTGTCCCCGTCTTTTTTCCTAGACTTTTGTGTCTCTATCTCTCCATCTCCTGACTTTCTCTTTTTCTGTCTCTATTTCTCTATCTCATCTATCCCTGTCTCAATCTCTGTCTCTCTCGTCTATGTCTAGCTCCTGTCTCTCTCCCTGTCTTTATCTCTCTGTCTCCTCTCTTATCTGTGTATGTCTATCTCCATCTCTGTCTCTCTGAGTCTCCCACCCCCTCTCCCTCCCTCCTCTCCTCTGAGTCTCCCACCCCCTCTCCTCTCTCCTCTCCTCTGAGTCTCCCACCCCCTCTCCTCTCTCCTCTCCTCTGAGTCTCCCCTCCTGCCTCTGTCTCTGTCTTGCTCCATGCGATCGTCCCCTCTGGGGTTTCCCCAGCCCCTCCTCACTGCAGCCGGAAGGAAGGACTGACTGTGCTGGGAAAGGCCACGGGGTCTCCACTTCTCCCTTTTGTGGCCTCTTCCTCCTGCCCCCACCTCAGAGCCTTCCGCACCCTTGTCCCGGGGTGGCCAGCAAAGGAACTGGCGGATCTGCTGCCCCTGCTTGACTCTCCTCGGCCCCACGAACCTGCCAGTGAGTCCAGCCCAGAGAAAGGGAAGGGGGGAGCTTGGCAGGGTCTGTGTGCCCCGCCTCCCCAGGGGGCCCCTTGCCCAGCTTCTGGAAGCGGAGCCCACAGGAGTCATGGCCCCAAGACTTCTCCTGGCCCTGGCCCTCTGGGCTGGCTGCTCACCCTGCAGTGGGAGAGAAGGTATGTAGGGCCCCTGGGGGTGGGGGACCAGGGCCAGTCTGGGGACTGGACTTTGCTGTGGAACCTTCTGGGGGTGGGGTGGGAGAGGTCCCACAGATGGGAAAGTGAGACACAGACGAATCCTACTCCAAAGTGATACCAGGTAGTGGCAGCCACCGCCTGGAGAGAGAGAGAGAGAGGAAGAGAGAGAGGGAGGGAGAGAGAGAGAGGGGGAGAGAGAGGAGGGGTGGGGGTTAATTGCATACACTCATTTCATGTGCTTTAAAACAAAACTGTAGCCCTGGCCAGTTTGGTTCAGTGGGTAGAGCGTCGGCCTTCGGACTGAAGGTCCCAGGTTCGATTCCAGTCAAGGGTATGTACCTCGGTTGCAAACTCAATCCCCGGCCCTGGTTGGGGCACATTGGGGAGGCAACCAATTGATGTGTCTCTCTCACATCGATGTTTCTCTCTGTCTCTCCCCCTCCCACTCTCTCTCTAAAAAAAAAAAAAACAAAACAAAAAAAATCAATGGGAAATAGCCTCGGGTGAAGATTAACAAAACCAAAACTCTGTAACAAAGAGGGGATACAGTGAAATATCTCCCTCCCATCTGGGTTTTCCACTACCGCGGTCTCCTCTGTGGCTTGTTAACCCTGGAGGATGAGCCAATAGTCCCTACCTCTGCAGGTTGTAGGGGGGTGAGAGGTGACGTAGGTGCCTTTCACTCATGCACTCATTCCACCAGCCCTATCAGGTGCCTCCCGTATGCCCGGCACTGGCTGGGGTGAGGGGGGAGGAGCCCATGGGAGGCCTTTACAGCCCTGGTGTCTCTGAAATGGAGAGAATCAGCATCTTCCTGTTTCAGATTCCAGAGTCTGACTCTGTGGACCTCAGAATGCAAGGGAATTGTAAGGCTGGAATGTTGACATTCCAGAAACCTGTGGAATCTGGGACTGAGCACCGAGGGTGGCTTTCATCCCAAACCTTGGGTACTTGTGGGTGGTTTGAAAGCTCACGCTCCTCCCTCCTCCCTCCCCACTGCAGCCCCCACCCAGTCCAGGGTGTGGTGCTGGGCCTTTAGGTACCCGATGGCTGTAGATTGCTTCTGGACCCTGCCACCGGCTGCCAACTCCACCAGGCCCACAGCCTTCATTGCCACGTACAGGTCAGAGCCTGGAGGGCTTCTTGGAGGTTCCGCAGCGGAGCCTGACCCCTGGGAGGAGGGCGACTGCAGCCAGCACGGACCTGGAGCCCTGCGAGTGCTAGGGCAGCGGGTCCTGTAGAAACATGCCTCCTACAATACACATGTCACGCCAGGGGTCGCTTAGAATGTTCTAGAAGCCACATTTAAAAAGTAAGAGGAAATGGGTGAAATTAATATTTTATGTAAATAATATCTATATTTCTAAATATTTATCATTTAATGATTGAGCATAATGTAATTGAACATACTTATATCCAATGTATATATTTAAATTTAGAATAGAAATTAATATAGAAATAACTAAAATATTATCGTTATCATTACTTTAAAAATTAGATATTTTACATCCTTCCTTTTTATACGAAATCTTCAGAATTCCACGTCTATTTTATGACTATAGTGCCTTTCAGTTCAGATACTAAACTTTCATTAGAAATTCTTGATCTGATTGGATTTCATAAAATTTGCAGTTGAAGCAATAAATTCATGCACCCAACTTGTTCCAAACAACTTTCCCAAGTGTTCTGGTAACTGGAAACATTACGCTTAGATTACACAAAATGAATCCCACTAAAGTCCCACTCAGTCATGTAACTGTGTTTCAAGCGCCTGACCCCACAGGCGGCTAATGACTGCTGCATGGGACAGTGTAGAAACAGGACATTGTGATGCTGTAGAAAGTTCTATGGATGGCACTCAGCTCAAGTCTCAGAATCTTCCTGTTTCAGATTCCAGAGTCTGTGACTCTGTAGACCTCAGAATGTGGGAATTCTAAGGCTGGAACGTTGATCTTCCAGAAACCTGTAGAATCTGGGACCCGAGCATCTAGCGTGCTTTTCACCCCAAACCCTGGGTACTTGTGGGGTCTGTGATGTCAAGTGAGTGCCTCCCCCGAGTGAGGGTCACAGAGGCAAGAGCAGGACCCCGAGCCAGGGCTCCTCACCTTCTGTCCCCACTTGGGACCGAGGGCACAGGTAGGGCCAGCAGGAGTGCTGAGGCCCTCACAGTGCCCATCCGTGTCCAGGCTGGGAGTGGCCGCCCGTGGGGAGAGCCAGCCCTGCCTCCAGCCCACCCCGGAAGCCACCAGCTGCACCATCCCGGACGTCCAGATGTTCTCCATGGTGCCCTACATGCTGAACATCACCGCTGTCCACCCCGGGGGCAGCAGCAGCAGCTTCGTGACCTTTGTCCCAGAGCACATCAGTGAGTGGGGGCCATGGTTGGGGGGTGAGGGTCCCTGGCTTGTTTGTGCTCTTCCCCCTCTCGAGGTACCCCCCACCTTCTACCTGTCACACAGTCCTTCCTCTATCGCGGATCCTGTGGGATTTCAGAGAGGAAGGGAGAGGGAGAGAGCTAGAAACATCAATGAGAGAGAATCATTGATCAGCTGCCTCCTACATGCCCTCTACTGGGAGTCGAACCCGAAACCCGGGCATGTGCCCTTCACCGGAATCAAACCTGGGGGCCTTCAGTCCGCAGGCCGATGCTCTATCCACTGAGCCAAACCGGCTAGAGCCTGATCCCGCTTTTACCGCCCACCTGGACCTCAGTCCTCTCACCCTAGTTTCCGGTTCCCACCCTCTTCCCTCAGCAGCCACCAGAGGGCGCCTTCCCTGAATCAGCCACCAGAGGGCGCTGTGAGCACCCCAGTCAGGTCCTGCCCCTCGGCCCTCAGCTCTAGCTCCTGCCTCCCTTGGGGTAAACGCCCAAGTCCTCCTATGACCTGACCCGCCTGCTCCCTAGCAGTAATGGGGGGGTGGGGGGGGCTGCTAATGGGTGTGGATTTCTTTTTGGGGTGATGAAAATGTTCTGATGAAATAGTGGTGGTGTTCATACAACATTGTGAATGTACTAAAAACCACTGAACTGTACACTTTGAAAGGGTGAGTTTTGCGGTATGCGAATTATGTCTCAAAAAGTTGCAAGCCACTCTCTTCCTTGCACTCCTGAACTTTCTCCCCTACTCTTTTTTTTTCAATTAGCAATAATCTCGCCCCGGATAAACCTCATTGGCTACGATGCTGCCACTGCTAAAGCTCTTCCCTCCTCTTTGTGATCAGTAGATTTCCTTCTAGTCTCTTGCCTTCTGTCCTGTGGATTGAGCTCCAAAAGGAGACGGGTTGGGTCTCTACTGGTCACTGCTGTGTCCCCGGGGTCCAGAACATCACCGGACACACAGTGGACCCTCAATTAATATTTGTTGGTTGTTTGCATGCATGGAACTGCCCTCTGCTGACCCTGTCTCCTGTTTGTCTGTCAGTCAAACCAGACCCCCCAGAAGGCGTGCACCTGAGACCCCTGCATGGGCAGGGCCTGAGGGTGCAGTGGGGACCTCCCAGCTCCTGGCCCTTCCCCGAGATCTTCTCACTCAAGTACTGGATCCGCTACAAGCGTCACGGAGCCGCCCGCTTTCGCCAGGTGAGGAAGAGGAGAGGCAGCTGGGGAGGGTGAGTCCCAGGTAGAGCAGCACGTGTACAGGTGCACTGAGGCCTCCCGGGCAGCTTGAGATTGATTGCTTGTGGCTAATGCGCAAAATGCAGGCAGCCCCGCAACTCCACTCCTGCTCCTGCGTATCTGCCCCAAAGACTTGAAAACAGGGACTCAAACAGAACCTTCACAGAGTGCTGGTCACAATAGCAGAAAGGTGGCAACGCTCAAGTGTCCGCCCGCGGGTGAGTGGGTTCACAAAGCACGGTCCATCCACACACTGAGTATTACTCAGCCGTGAAGCACTGACACTACAATGTGGATGAACCCGGAAAGGATGATGCCCAGTGAGAGGAGCCAGACACACAAGGGGTGTGATTCCATGGATGCAAAATGTCCAGGACAGGCACATCCAGAGATGGAAAGTACATTCAGGGTTGTCAGGGGCTGAGGAGGAGGGTGGGGAGTGACTGCTGATGAAAACAGGGTTTTGGGGGGGGGGTGTGATGGAATTTTCTAGAATTAGAGGCGCTGGTTGCACAACATTGTGAAAGTACTAAGGGATATGGAATTGTCCACTTCAGAATGGTTAATGTTATGCCATGTAAATTTCACCTTGATTGAAAACAACCTATATTGTTTTAACTTTTTAAAAAAAGGTTTTATTGATTTTAGAGAGTGAGAGCAAGGGAGAGGGAGAGAGAAACATCGATCTGTTGCCTCCCGTACATGGCCTGACCTGGGATCAAACCTGAAACCTAGGTATGTGCCCGAACCAGAAATGGAACCCACAACCTTTTGGGGTGTGGGATGACTCTCCAACTGACCAGGGCTGTTTTAACTTCTTCTTTTTTTAAAAAAAAATTTTTTTATTGATTTCAGAGAGGAAGAGAGAGATAGACACATCAATGATGAGAGGGAATCATTGATCGGCTGCCTCCTGCACGCCCCACACTGGGGATGGAGCCCGCAACCTGAGCATGTGCCCCGACGGGAATTGAACCTGGGACCCTTCAGTCCACAGGCCAGCGCTCTATCCACTGAGCCAAGCCGGCTAGGGTTGTCTTAACTTCTTAAAAAATAAAAAATAACGGCAGTGTCCTGTGAGCATCCAAAGGTCAGTGGTGGCCTGGGCAGAGCCGGATCCTGGGCTGAGAAGCGAGTCTGCAGTTGGGCTTTTCACAGCCTGCCCCGCGGTGTGGGCGTCTTCGGTGCTGGGGGGTCTTCTCCGACCGCTCCAGGACAGTGGCCATGAACTACAGGTGGCTGTGGCAACTAGCCCGGGAACTGCCTTTTAAATTTTACTAGTGTTCATGAATTTTCTTAAGTCTTTGCAGTTTTAAAATTGAGATCGAACTCACATGCCAGAAAAGTCACTGTTTTAAAGTGCTTAAGCCAGTGGCTTTGTGTATGTTCATAAACTTGTGCAACCATTAACCTAAATTTACAACTTGCAGCACCATATCGGCCTACGATATGGGACACTCAGGCAGAGCAGGGAAGGGAGCTAGGCAGGCCTGGGTTGGGCAGCTGAGTGTGGGGCTGGAGTGGGACATGCTGACCATTCAGTGGGAGGTGGAAGGAGGTGAGGGCCGGGTCAGGCAGGAAGAGTGTGGAGCAGCAGGGACAGGGGAGAAAAGACGGACGGAGAGAAAGCAGGGAAGGCGGCCTGAGTGGGTGTCTCACTCGTACCCATGGGACTCTAATCTTCGGAGGTCCCTGCGTGGGGGCATGAGAGGCCAAGGCCATCGAGAGAAGAACTGACTACATTTCCTGAGAGAAGGGGACATGCCGCGCCATGCAGGGCGTACAGGCAGCATCAGGATACAGGAGGCCGAGCCATGCAGGGCTACAGGCAACGTCAGGATGCGGGAGGCCGCGCCATGCAGGGCTACAGGCAGCATCAGGACGCGGGAGGCCGCGCCATGCAGGGCTACAGGCAGCATCAGGATGCGGGAGGCCGCGCCATGCAGGGCGTACAGGCAGCATCAGGACGCAGGAGGCCGCGCCATGCAGGGCTACAGGCAGCATCAGGATGCGGGAGGCCGAGCCATGCAGGGCTACAGGCAGCATCAGGATGCGGGAGGCCGAGCCATGCAGGGCTACAGGCAGCATCAGTGCTGGGGGCTGGCGAGTGTGAATAACCCTGTGGGCTCTGGGTTCATGGGTGATCTCAGGTTGCCTGGCACCTGGCACTGGGTGACTTAGGGCGGGAGGAATACTGGCCTGTGTGGGGGAATTAGAGAAAAGGGTGGACTGTTCAGTTTGTATATGAAAGGCGTGCCCCTTTGCCACCCCTAACAATTGGCTGACCCCAAGAAGGGCAGTCTGTTCCCAGCCAGCAAGATGTTAAGACGCCAAAATATCCTAAGATACAAAAAAAAAAAAATTTAAACATGGTTAATACAGTGGGCCTGGGGAGTTGGGGAGGGAGGCATTGAAGTCAATGAGAGAAGCTCTGGTTTAGAGCCAGGAGGAAGGATGGGATTGGGGGGAGGGGTCTGGGAGTGAGGGATCTCACCACTGAGACACCCCTCGAAACGGGCCCATGCCTTGGTGCGGTCCAGGAAGGATTCCTGAACGAGTTGGCTCTGGGACCAGCAGGAAGTCCACACAGGTCAGGACCACACAAGCCACAGCCTGGGAGGGGGCTGTGGAGGGCGAACGGTTTAGGATGGAGCATGAGGATTGGAGGCTCAGTCACACCGATCCCACTGACCACACTCTTTCTGCTCTCAGGTGGGGCCCATCGAAGCCACGTCCTTCACCCTCAGGGCTGTGAAGCCCCACGCCCGGTACTGCGTCCAGGTGGCTGCCCGGGACCTCACTGACTACGGGCAGTCAAGCCACTGGAGTCTCCCTGCCACGGCCTCGGGGCCGCTGGGCCAGTAGCAGGGGCTTCCCGGCACCCGGAGAGGAGCTGGTCCCTGACATCCCCTCCCCTCACCGCTACCCACTCAGAGGTGGATGGGACCTCACTGGCCTGGCCTGGGGCTACTGCTGAGCGGCTGGGCCACCTTGGACACGTGACTTTGCCTCTGACACTGAATTTCCTAATCTGTGAATCGGGGATGTACTCTCTCCTTTGACTGCAGAACTGTGAATGTGACGTATTATTTATTGTTTAATTAGACAAGGACCATTGTTACTAGAATAAAGACTCTTCCTCCCTTTGTTCAACAGACCCAGAGAGGAGTTAGAGAGGACAGAACAGAGCAGGACACACATACAATGAATCCCCCACTCCCGTGGGACAGGGGTCAGGGGCTGGGAGGGGAGGAAGAGACCCGCAGTCTGAGGATTTGGGGGTGGGTGGTGGGAGGGGTTCTGCCTTGGGGACGGGGATGGTTGGGGAGCCCATTCAAGTTCAGCAGTTTGGGTTCCTCCCATCGTCCTCAAACGATGTGGAGCCTCCAGTGGTGAGTGGGACAACAAATGGGGAACATCGTTTTGTTTTGGGAAGATTTTCTTCTGGGGGAGGGGGACAAAGCAGCCAGGGCCTGGGAAGGATTTTCCTCCATCC